TTAGAAGAACTCTTCTCAGTCTTTGACTTGACAAATATTGTAAGATTTGTGAAAACTTCCACACTGCTAGTTGATTGTTGGCAGCACTGTTTTGCAGAGTTGCCAGACTGCAGCAAATTGGTGTAAATGTCAAAGAGTCTAGCGCAGCTTTGAAGGCTACCAAATGGACTAGCAAATGGCGTTTCGCAATGCTGTCAATGCAATGCCCCCACACGTACACAGACACACCTACACACACACACCCACACACATACACCCACACACACACAGAAAGAGCCGCGCAGCTAAGCTTTTGTCAGGTTTCTGTTTAGTTTGGATGCTGCAATCAGCGCAATATGCTACAAAGCAAGAAATGTCACAGGCTGAAGGGGCAGAGGGAGCCAGAGAGAAAGAGAGAGAGAGCGAGAGATGTAGGAAGTAAGGTAGCGAGGGGAGGGATACAGAGGCAAAGCTAGAGCCAAGTCAGCCAGTTTATATTTCCTGGCCAGCACACACACACACACACACATACATGGACAAAGTGTGTCAAAGCAAATGTGGCATGTGGCAACATGTGGCCACAGACAGTGGCTGAGCAAAGTCGTGGCCCGAGTTGGGCTTTTGCATTTGGTGTCTTTTGTGCATGTGGCTCGGGTTGGCCGGATGGATGATGGGGCCCGGGCGTGTTGCCAAAGTGCCTGCGGTTATGCGGCAATGTGGTGCACTAGCTATAGCTATAGCTATAGCTGTAGCTGTGGCTTTGGCTGTGCCACCAAGGCTGTGCTTGCAGCGTGCAACGTTACGAAACTGAAACCGAAACTGAAACTGAAACGAGCCGCATTAACGCCGCCTTTAAAATTTATGATATTTACTCGAAGCAGCAGACGCCAACGACGACGACGACGGCGACGGCGACGAGTCGAGCGGGGGCGGCAGGTGTAGGCGCTGCTCGTTGCAGGTGCACACGTTGTATTGTGGCCACGTGCCAGCAGCCAACGGCTGGCTGCTTACCACTGCCTCTGCCCCTGCCCCTGCCCCTGCCCCTGCCTCTGTCTCTGCTTCTGCTTTTGGCTCTGCCTCTGCTTGTTCGCTTTGGTTATGCATTTTTTATGGGCTCACATCAAAGCCAACTAACTTGGCAATCAGAGCAGCTGCTTGGGCCAGGCCAATGAGGCAGCTGCCCCGACGACTCAACGATGACTCATCGGCCACTCAAGCCGCTGGGCCATTGCACTGACTTACCACATACCCTGTAATTGGGCTGTGACGGAGCTGCTAAGCGAGCCATCTTGTGGTGTGGAGTGGTTTGGGTTTGCAATCACTGATCTGACTTTGTTTTAAGCAAATCGAAGACTTCCTTGGAAACTACTTCTCTCTCTCTCTCTCCCTCTCTCAGAGAGTTACTCTTTGAGTCTCTTTCAGTAGATCTTATCTAATTTATATGCTTCTCTATCAGTTTAAGCTTAATTTTTAAATCTCGTTGTCTTTCTCACTCTCATTCTTTGCATCTCTGTTCCTCTTTCTCTGCCTTTGTATCTTTCTCCATATTTGATTCTTTATATTTTTTCGTCTCTATCGCGTATTCTTCGTCTCTTTCTTTCTCTTTATCTATCGAATCTCTCTCATTCTTACTGTACTTCTCTCTATCTCTCTCTTTCTCTCTGTCTCTCTTTCATTCACATTGTATATCTCTCTCTCTCTCTTTCTTTTTGTCTCTCTCTATCTCCCTCTATTTCCCTCTTTATCTCTCTCTCTCACTCTCTCACTCTCTCTCTCTCCCTATCTCTTTCCCCCTCTATCTGTCAGTCTGTTTTACTCTTTCGTTGTATCAATATCTTACTTTGACTCATTTACATTCGATCTCTTTAATCTTCTACTGATCTCTCACTCTGTCTCCGTGTCTCTCACTCTCTTTATATGTCAATATATCTGTCAATTCTAACTTTCCACTTTCTTGTTCGCTTCACGCCCAAAGTCTTGCCTCACTTAAGCGAGCATAATGTCCGCCTGAGTCCAGGTAAACCTCTTGCTCGTTAAGTGCATGCTGCACTTGCCTCGAATCTCTTGCATACTTCATGGGGCGAGCAGAGATTAGGAGAGGGGGTGTGGGAGGATAGGTGAATGTGGCATATTATGCACACTAACCAACTGCCTTCATTCACTATGATTGGCCTTTCAATTTCAAAGCAATGCCCCAAAGGCCACAGCGAGAACTCTAGCAGAAGCAAGAGCAAAAGCAGATGCAGAAGCAGAAGATAAAGCTGAAGGCAAAGCAGCTGCAGCAGCAGCCTTCACATTCATTTTCTTGGCTGGGAAAAGTTTTATCCATAGCTGCATTTGGATTCTATTTAAAGTTCTTAGCTCAGTGCCTCGCCGCCCGTGCACCTGTCAACACCTGAGCCGAGCTGAGCAGAGCTGAGCTGCCGTCGCCTTTACTCCTTTCGCAAGGCGTTCGTTCGCATCGTTTTTTGTAATTTTCTTAAGTGTTTGTCTGTCTGCCAGATAAAATTATTAGCAGCCATGTTCTGTCGTCGCTGCTGGATTGATTTTACTGCCGGCGAGGAGGACTACGTCGTGTGCGCCGGTCCCTGTGCCTGGCCCTATCACGCCACCTGCGCCGCCGTCCCACGGGAGCTGGCGCGTGAGTTACGACGCAGCAGCTCAAACAACTTTGACACAAACTTTCCCAGCTTCGGTTTCGGCTTCGGCTTGGGCCTGGGACTGGGCCTGGGCTCTGGCTCAGGTGTGGGTCCCAATGCCGGATCCGGTTCCAGTTCCGGCTCCGGCTTGGAATGGTACTGTCACAATTGTCGTCAACTTTATCGCCTGCAATTGTACTTTGAGGTATCTATAAGAAAATCGTGTTCCCAGATACAGACACAGATACAGATACAGATACAGATACAGATACAGATACAGATACAGATACAGATACAGATACAGATACAGATACAGATACAGATCGGA